CAAGACCTTCTTAAAGTGTTGAAGAGCAAAGATGTCAGCTTGAGGACTAGGGTGTGCCTGACCCAAGCCATGGTATTTTCAATAATCTCATATGCATACGAAAGCTGGACAGTGAATAAGGAAGACCTTATAAGAATTGATGCTTTTGAGTTATGGTGTTGGAGGAGAATATTGAAAGTGCCACGGACTGCCAAAAGAACCAATAAATCTGTATTGGAAGAAGGGCAGCCAGAGTGCTCCTTGGAGGCCAGGATGGCCAAACTTCGTCTCTCATACTTCGGAAATATCAAGAGGGACCAGTCGCTAGATAAAGATATCATGTTTGGTAAGGTGGAGAGTCAGGGAAAAAGAGGAAGACCCCCAGCGAGATGGATTGGCAAAGTGGCAGCATCAGTGGGCTCAAACGTGGCAACAGTAGTGAGGTTGGCGCAGGATCGGGCAGTGTTTCATTCTGTTGTGCACTGGGTCGCTATGGGTCGGTAGTGACTTGATATTTACTCTTTTTTTTTTTAAAGACTATTTACCTTTAGTCACTGTTTTTTTCCCCCTTCCCTAATCCATGGTAACCATCATAGAATGTTTCTGTTATCAAGAAAACATTTTCTTAACTTTTTACAACATTGGTTTCATACAGTATTTGTCCTTTTGTATTTGACTAATTTCACTCAGTCTATGCCTTCCATGTTTATCCATGTTGTAAGTTTTTTCAGAATCAACATTGCATAGTATTCCACTGTGTGCGTATGTTTTAAATATTTTTCCCCAAATGATTCAGTGAGTTTTACAACTGCTTCCATGTAGATCGTGCACAATTATGAACAAATTAACTTCTAGGTAGTTTATATTTTTTGTGGATATTTTGAATCAGATATTTCCCATTAAATTTTTAACAATTTACAATAGCTTACAGGAAATCAAATTATTTTATGTAGTCCTGGTGTGGCTTTGTGGGTTAATGCACAAGACTGCAAAGTCAGTTTGAACTGCAAGGTCGGTGGTTCAAGCTCACCAGCTGCTCCTTGGAAGCCCTATACAGGGTCGCTATGGGTCGGAACCGACTCTAAGGCACTTACCAACAACCAACAACATTATACTTAAGGAGCTCTGGTGGCGTAGTGATTACGAATCGGGCTGCAAACCTCAAGGTCAGCAGTTTGAAACTACCAGCTCTTCTGCAGGAGAAAGATGAGGCTTTCTGCTCCTGTAAAGATTTACAGCCTCGGAAACCCTATATAGGGTTGCTATGAGTCAGAATCGACTCCACGGCACACAACCACCATTATACTTGAGAAACCAACTACATTTTCTTATTGATCTAGTCATTTCTCAGCATATAATCTTGCATCTTAGATGGGTAATCAGCATCATCTCCTAATAGTGAAAGTAAATATTAGAAGGAAGGAACCAACATTGGTATTTGTAGAGATATAGTTTGGCTTTTTTTCTTGTCAATATGAGGAGACTTCAAAAAGTTCATGGAAAAATGAAATGATAATGGAGTTTTCCCACAAACTTTTTGAAGCCCCCTCATATATGAGAATAAGTAGAAAAAATTATTGTTACTCAGATTCCAGTTCACACACGCACAGGTTTATTTTAAACAAAATGTGTTTAAACACGTCTCTGTGATCAGCGGATGGCTACAGACAAGTTCTCTCAGCACCAAACTTGTCTTAGTCTTGTTCAAATGCTTTCAAAAAAGAGGTCTAATCAAAACAGAGGCTTCTGAAGGGTATTTTTTGGGTCAGTTAAATTCAAGGCAGAGAGATCAGCTTAGAAGGTTATGGTGATTGTTTTATGAAAATTGAAAACTGTATTGGTAAGAAAAAGGTCAGGAAAGTAGCAATGAGGAATTTAAAATTTTCCATTATGAGAATGTACCTGTTCATTCTTCAAGGGTACCAAGGACTGTCCTATGAGAATTTCACTGGAAAACTTTACCCCATCCACTCTATAGCACTGACCTTGCTCCTTTAGACTTCATTTTGTTCCCTAATCTCAAAGAACATTTAAAGGAACATCATTTGATTCCCTTAAGGATACAAAACTGTCATTTTGAAGTGGTGTCAAGTGAAGAATTCTTCAGAGAAAGGTTGTTGTTGTTAAGTGCCATGGAGTAGGATCCAACTCATAGAGATCTATATAGGGTTTCCCAGGAGCAGCTGGTGAGTTTGAACCACCGACTTTGTGGTTCAAACTGACCTTATGGTCCAGTGCATTATCTTACAGCACCACACCGGGACTCCCAGAGAAGGGTTGTTGTTGTTGTTAAGTGCCATTGAGTCAATTCTGACTCATAGCAACCCTGTATAGGGTTTCTGAGTAGCAGCTGGTGAGCTTGAACCGCTGACCTTGCAGTTTAAATGGCTTTGCAGTCTGGCACATTAACCCACAGCATCACACCAGGACTCTAGAGGATTAGAGAGATAGAGAAATTAGAGATAGATGGAGGATATGTCAAGATAGTTTCACATTTTGATATTTTTAATAATGTTTTCATGATTTTGTAGCAATACTTTTTGACTTGACTCTGTGTATGTGTGTATATATAAAACACAATATTTGGATTTGACTCATTATTGAACTTTACTGTTGTTAAGTGCCATCAAGTCGATTCTGACACATAGTGATCCTGTATAGGGTTTCCAAAGAGCAGCTAGTGGGTTTAAACTGACGACTTTGTAGTTAGCAGTTAAGGGCTTATCCTACAGCGCCACACCACAAGTCCTATTGAACTTTACAAGGAGGTTAAGGATTTGTCTTCTGGGACTGGCTTTTTTCACTCAGGATTGTACTAAAGTTAGTTTATGATGTTTTGTTAAACTGCACTGCTGAATGCTGGGAATGAATTTAGTGTAATTTACTTATCCATTCTCTTGATGGGCATTTTGTGTTATTTTCAGATTTTTGCTCTTAGGAACAGTGCATCTGTGAACATTGTTTTCTACTTTTCTTGGAGTTTCTCTAGATTTTAAACCGGGGGCAGGCAGGGTGGGCAGGGTGGATTTTCTGGGTCCCAGCATCTGGAAATGTTCAGCTTTAAGAGATAACACCAGATTGCTTTCCCCATTGGTTATTTTAACCTGGTAAGGAGCTCTGGTAGTGTAGTGGTTACAAATCAGGCTGGGGACCACAAAGTCAGCAGTTCGAAACTATCAGCTATTCCTCGGGAGAACGATGAGGCTTTCTACTCCCGTCAAGATTTACAGCCTTGGAAACCCTGTACAGGGTCGCTGTGAGTCGGAACCGACTCCACAGCACATAACAACAACAACAACAGTGCTCTGACCAGCAACCAGGCTTTCCTGTGGCTCCACTTAGTCCCCATACTCGCTGCTGTCTGGCAGGCTCCTTCATGTTTGCCCTTCAAGCAGTATAATGTAGCATCACATTGTGATTTTAATTTGCATTTCCCCCATCACCACTGAGATTGAGCATACCTTTTATGCTTATTGGACAAATGTGTTTCCTCCACTGCTGAAGGCTGGTTTGATTTCTATTCTATTGGATGATGTGTTGTCTCTTAGGGATTTGTAAGGATTACGGTTCCCGTGTGCTGCTTCTCCTTTGCCAGCTGTACATTTCAGACGTCTCCTAGTTTTGTGGTTTACTTTTCACTTTCTCCAAGGTGTCTCCACTTCTTTTCTCCCTCACACCTGTGCCAGGGACGCCCATTGGGGTTGCTAGTGAGTGTGATGGCGGTGGGCTGTGCCCATTTAGACGACCCCACATTTTCTGGCTTCCAGGGAATTTAAGGGACCCTCTCCTCGTCTTCCCAATCCCCTCTCATTTTTGGCCAGGGTTGAGGGCGCCCCTCTCTGGCTGGGGGTGGACATCCTGGGGGCAGGGAGGGCCACACTGTCTTCCCCCCCGAGGAGTTATTTATCACTTCCGGCTTCCCACCTGGGGGGCCGGGCCCCCTCTCCGCTCGACTGGGCAGCAGCCTCGGCAGTTCGCGCTCCCCTGGGGGCGGTCCGGGCCCTCCCGAGGCGGAGGCGGGGACCAGGCCTGCGGCGGGGGCTGGGGTGGGGGGCGGAAGCTGCCCGAGCAGATAAGGGCCGAGGTCGGGCCTGCGGTGAGACAGTGCGGGACGCTGCCTCCGCCCTGGCTCCGCGAGTCGCCCCGCACCCTCTGTCTCCTCCCCCTGGGGGGCTGAGGTTGGCCTGGGACCCCGCCACCTCCGGGGGCCAAGGACCCAAGGGAGGAACGGGGCCTGGGGCTCACTTAGTCTGTAGACAAGTGACAGCCGGGCTCCAAGCCTCAGTCATCTCAGCTGAAAAATGGGGGTAGGAGTCCCACCTGCCCCACAAGGCTGTTGCGGATGGAACAACTTGTGAAAGCTTTCTATTTGAGCCTTTTGTTTTTGAATTTTTATTTTATTGTGGTAAAATAAAGCATTGACCGGTTTCACCATTTTTAAGTGTACAGTTCAGTGACAGGAGACATGCTTTTATGCATTTAAAAATGACAGACTACATGTATGTAAACTATATTTAAAAGCTTGAATATGCTGCCAACATTCGGTCACATTCAAACATCTTTATAAGAACACTTTTAATGGCGACCTAAAATTCTGTGCCAGGTATCAGAAATATGCAACCCAACACCTCCTGTCCATTCATCTCAAATATGGAACCCCTCCGAGGAGTCCTGGTGTGGCGCTCTGGGAATGTGCTGGACTGCAAGGTCCATTTGAACTACCAGGTCAACGGTTCAAGTTCACCAGCCACTCCTTAGAAACCCTATACAGGGTAGCTATCAGTCAGAACCTACTGGACAGCAATTGACATCTTGGAATCTTGGAGTGGTGCTGTAAGGTAAGCAGTGGACCACAAGGTCAGTTTGAACTGCAAGCTTGATGGTTCAAATCCACCAGTCATTCCTCGGATGTGATGAGTGGGAACCAACTTGACCGCACTTGACAATAACTGGAATGGGAAGGCTACCTACACTATCTTACTACTATAATGTTGTTAAGTGTGGTTGAGTCCATTCCAACCCATAGTGACCGTGTATAGGGTTTCCTATATAATAGTAGTACTACTATTATTATTCATCATCGTGTGCCACCGACTATCTTTAGGACTCAGTGCGTGAATCTAACAATTGCCTTAGAAAAAATCCCCCAAAATGTTGTAACAAGAATGGGGGAATAGTTAATCTTACAATCCAGAAACAGAGGACCCTAGGACCATCAAGGGAAAAAAGCACAAGCAGAATGCGGGACCCTGTCCAGAGAAGTAGCAACACCAGAGATGGAGGCAGAGACGGGGGCATGGAGAGAGGGAGCAGCTGAGGACTCTAGATTCATGGGAAGGGACTGAGAGCTGGTGGCCAGGAGGCAGACTTGCAGAATGTGCCCTTTGGTGGTGTAAATTATTATATATGCCTGAGTGTTTAAAAAAAAAAGAGCTAAAATGAATAGAGAGAAATACTGTTAACTGATGGTACATGGAGGGGATTATAATCATTGTAATGAAACAAGGTGTATGATTTGTTGAATGTAAAACTGATCATTTGTCCTGTAAACTTTTACTAAATCCACAATAAAAACTTAAAAAAAAAAAAAAGATCCCCCAAATGGCATTTCTGGATTTAAGGTTAAATTATCCTACAATTAAGTTTTACTAATTTACACTCCTTTCCTGTGTGTAGCCTTGGTGTGTGCTTTTTAAAAAAGTGTGGGTACACTGGGTTCCCCTCACTGCCTCTGCTGTACCCCAAGCCCTCTCATCCTCATCCTCACTGTATAGATGGGGAAAATGGGGCTCTCCTCAAAGTCCAGAGCCGACAAACAAGAAGCAAGTAGGGAGGGGTGCTGGAATGAGAATCTGGCCATAGTCTTCCCACTGCCCCCACTCTGGGGACAGAGTTGTTTTGTGACGCCTGAAGCATGTACAATTTGGGGGTGCCCTCTTTAAGAAAATGATGACAAAATCACAAATACCAAATTACTGAGCCACCTCCCTTCAGGGCCTAAAAGGGGCCCAAGCAAGTGTCCAACTTCCTCCCACTCCCTGCCCACCATGCAGGGTTCCTGGAAAGGTTTCCACCCCTCTCTCCCAGAGAGACTCCAGGACAGCTACAGGGCAGGGGGCCCAAGACAACAGGGTGGATGAGGTGCCACTGTAGCTGGTGCCTAACCCCAATCTAAGAGCAAGGGCAGCCAGGCTTTGAGGGAACTGTCCCACTAGTCCTGCCAGCCCAGCCAGGGTTCAACTTGTCACTCAGGGCACTTCTAAACCTGCAAGTGGGGGGAGGCTCTCTGGAGCCCTGCAAAGTGCACCCGACTTGGAGTCAGATGAGATTCCCTTAGTTTCCTCATCTGTAAAGTCAGACTAGTAATAATAGCTAATCCCCAGAGCTGTTGCTGTTGTTAACTGCTGTTGAATCGGTTCCAACTCCTTTGTGACCTTGTATAGGGTTTCCAAGGTGCACCTGGTGGGTTTGAACTGCTGGCTTTGCGGTTAGCAGTCTAGTGCTATAGCGCCACCCTAGGACTGATTCCCCCAGAGCATTAGGAGGCTTACAGGAGACGGTTTGTGAGAAACATTGAGCCCTTAGCTGCGAGAAAAACAATTCCCTTTGTGACATCTCCAGGCTGGGAGAGGCGTTCTTCTCCTCATGGTGGTGCTGACTTACATATCCAAGGGTTACATATCCAAGTCTCTCAGCTAAGAAGTTTCAGAGTTGGGATTTCAATTCCCAAAAGTCTTGGTGTGGCGCTGTGGGCTAATGCGTCAGACTGCAAAGTTGTTTGAATTGCAAGATTGGTGGTTCAAGCTCACCAGCTGCTCCTTGGAAACTCTATACAGGGTCACTATGGGTCGGAATTGGGTTGCGAACCTTAAGGTCAGCAGTTGGAAACTACCAACTGTTCCGCAGGAGAAAGAGGAGGCTTTCTGCTCCTGTAAAGATTTACAGCCTTGGAAACCCTGTACAGGGTCGCTATGGGTCGGAACCGACTCCACGGCACATAACCACCACCACCACTCTGTCCTATGAGGTTGATAAGAGTCAAAACTTACTCCATAGCATAGCTTAGTGTGTATGTTCAGGGCAGGGAGGCTATGGGAGCTTCCTAGTCCAGTAGACTGCCTGTCTTTCTGGGATAGCTGCTGGACATTAGTCTCGCTCTGCTTTCCCAGCACCTGATGCTGGATCCAACTCTGACAACATACAACCAGGAGAAGCAGGAGAATCAGCATGGGGACAGAGCAGGGTTGCTGGGGAAAGGCCAAGGCGAAGGGCCTGGGCAGCGGCGGCCCTCTTAAAGCTACCAAGGTTTTCCAAACAGAAAGGTGCTGCTTTGCTTATTGTTTCTATAGGATTCCCACTCGCTCTTCCCTCCTAAGCCTCAGTATCCTTACCTGTGAAATGGGAATAAGAATAGCTGTAGTTTGCATGATTACAAGATGTCATGTATGCCCATTCCCACTGAATGCCCAGGATTGTTAAAGCAGCGTGGCTGGCTGAGGATAGCAGGGGTTGCCTGGTGAGGGCACGAGGTATACAAGAGGAAGCTGGGGTCTTGCTAGGGCAGGAAGCTGAGTCCCAGAAAGAGAGCCCCTTGGGGCCAGGCTGGGAACCTCAGCTCCAACATTCTCCCAGATCAGGAAGGGTCAGAGCAAGGCTAGGGGCTCTGGGTGCACCGAGAAGAGCAGGGAACTCACCCTGGTTGGGGCAAGTGGAAGGTTAAGGAGGGAGAAAGCAGGGCTTCTGGGAGGGACCGGAGGGGTGTTTGCTGTATGATTATTGTAGCACATAGTCACCGGGCGGCCCTATTCCATGACCTCATTTGCCTCTCACTGCAAGCTGTGGAGATTGTTTCCCTCGCTTTCCAAATGGATAAACTGAGGCTTGGGAAGGAGAGGTTGCTTGCCCGGGATCATACACTGCAGTTTGGGTGGTAAAGCAAGAAGTATGGTCCTCATTCTACAGATAAACTGAGGCTCAGAGGATTCCAGGCCCTGCCACTCTTTCCCAGGAAAGAGTGACATCTGACCCTCAGGCAGACATCTGACCCCGTTGGCATCACCTGGAGACTCATAGTTCCGGAAGCGGGCTGAGGAGAATTTGAACACAGAGACAGCAGAGATTCCTGGAGTAAGGGTGTGAGCTTCAAGTAAAGGCATCCTGAGTCGGCACCCATGTGCCCAACACCAAGAAACAGGAGGCTCCCCCAGGCATTTGTGGGTGTGATCCCAAAAAAGAATGAAGTTTTTCTGCACTTTTAAATTTTATCTTAAAAATTCCTGCAAATTTGTATCTCTCTCTTTAGTTTGTTTTTGTTTTCTTTTTTCATAAAATTTCCCCTTGAAGTCTTCTACCAGAGTGGACATTCTTCCTGAACCTTGGAGTCCAGGCTCCTTGGGCCCTGGGACCAAAGCCCTTCGGGTTTAACTGCAGGGACAAGGTGAAGGGCAAGGTCCTCCTGTCCTTATAGTCGAGGGCTCTGGCCAGCCCAGTCCTACTGTCTGCTCTCTGCAGACATTGGTCTAGCCCAGACTCTGCCTCACTGGGGATTCTGGGAATGCCTCATCACTCCCTTTGTCTCCTGAGGGTTTTGGTCCAGGGGCATGTCCCATTCTCACTCTACTGATTGGATAGCCTGACTGACTATTCATCTCCACGGACCAGGAGGAAAAAACTGAGGCCCAGAGACAGGTGTGCCTAGCCTGATGGTGCCCAGCAAGGAGGACTGTTGGATGCCCTGAAGGTGTCTCTGGCCAGGTGGGAGGGCCTCAGTCTGAAGAGAGGGCACTGGGTCTGGGCAGTGGCCAGGGAGGCAGGAGGGATGGGGGAAAGGCTTTGGAGCACTTAGGGGCTGCTGCCTGGCAGGTCCCCGTGCCCAGGGTAGGGAAGTTTCTGATTTCTCCCGCTCTGACTTCCCCCTTTGATTTATAATAGCCATGAAAGGCTCTGCTCTCTTCTCTTTTCCTTGCTGTCCCCGGGGCTGGAGGAGCAGCGGCAACCCTGGGCATCGGGCCTTAGCCTTTTGGGAGCCCCTGTTTCCCTTAAATGGCTGAGCCTATGGAGGCCAGAAGCGGAGGGGAGCCAGGTATGAGGAGGGGCCCAGGCCTTTCCAAAGGTGAGTCTGGGCAGGGCCCTGAGGGACAGACAAGTAGCAGCTGGGAAGGGCAGGGGCTTGGCTGAGGGTGTGGCAGGTGTGGAATCCACAATAGAAGGCTCCCTGGGGGTGGAGGTGGTGGGCTGTGGGCCAACACACTGCCTCAGTGAGACTTGAGGATCTAACTCTGCTAGGGTCTGAAGGCCGGGCACAGAGGCCTCGAATGCCAAATGCAGCGTCAAAGCAATGGTTTCTCTGTGTCTTCATATTCTGATTTAATTGTGACCAAAGCAGCCTGGCTCAGCGCAGTCTGGGGACTGGACTGGGAAAGCGTGAGGGATTGTGGGCTACTTCGGCCTGCAGCTGGACACCACCCTCAGGCCTAGCCCAGGCGGGTAGGGCTGGGGTCTGTCCGGCTCCTCAGTGGGCCTGGTGGCCGGAGTGTTTCTCCCAGCTTCAGTGTGGTGCCTGTGGTAATGGAGCTGTTGGCGTTTTGCAATGGGCCGGGGGTGGGGAGGTGGTGCACACATGCTTCCTGTGGTGACCGGGCGCTTCCTGTTTTCTCAGGCGCCGGCCTGCTACTGCCGATGTGGAAACAGGGGCAGCTGCAGCCGGGCGGCTCCAGGCTGGGTGCCCCGACCCTGCCCAGAGGGGCCTAAGTGGGCCCACTATCCTCTGGCCCCAGACTGGGGCAGAAGATGGTGTGTGTCTTCCTCCACTCATCACCCCAGGTCCTAGTTTTCCCTTACAAGTTTCCCACAAGACAAGAGAAAAGCCCAGGAAGGACCAATGGTCCAGGGGGTTAGAGGTCAGGGGTGAGAGCACTGGACTGGGCATCAGGGCATGTGACACTGTTTTCAGCTCTGTCCTTAACTAGTTGACTGTGGCCCATCTTTGGCTTCTCATTGTGTGATGACTGTGCATCTATGGTCTAAACCCCTCGCCCATTGCTTTTCCAATGCTCACATCCCAAGATCCTCAGCTCTGGGGACGGGGATGGGAACTGGCAGGCTGGGGTTGAGGGCATGCAAGGGGAGGGCCAGGGGATGGACAGACCAGACCTAGACTAAATTTGATGGACACATGGGAGAGTGGTAGGCAACAAGGTTGGTCCCAAAGGACTAAAACGCAGGAGAATTTTAGGGTCTTCTTTATGTCTACAAGTCTTAGGAAAGGGCCTGCCACCCTCATGTTCTTGCTCAGAGGAAAGATAAGTGACCTTTTGGACGGGGGACTGGGCATGCTCAGGACATGGAGGCCCATGAGGTAGAGTGAGAGACTTGGAGACCCATCCCTCCTTGATGGCCTTGAGAGCCACCATGAGGGCCAGACTTTGGGGTTCAGCATCACCCTCTTCCCAAACATGTTTTGCTTTTAAGCTGATATTACAAGAAGAGGAGTGGAAATGACTTTGCTTCTTTTTACTTTGCTGACGGCGCCTGACCTCTGGAGAAATCGTTTTTTTCTGAAGGAAGGCCAAGGTTGAGCCTCCTGGGAACTGACCAGTCCACCGTTGACCTAGAGGTCCTGGGACCCCTGTTTTCAGTAGCTCCTGCTCAATTCCCAGGCCTAGCCTCTGCAGATGGCTCAGGGAATGAGACTCTGGGATCCCAGGACACTAGGTCAGATCAAGGGGCATCAGGCCAACCTATCTCCCTGCCGTGGTCCCCGGGCCAGCACCGAGTGCTGAGTTGGCGGCTCAGCAGCTGCTCTGACCACTGAGGCCTGGTTATAAATAAGTCCAATGTGGCCAACTCATCAAGTTCTGGCTCCTCCGGCCCAGCTGCATTACCTCAGTGACCACAGGTTGGGGTTGGGGCTGCCCAGAGCCAGGCCCACCAAGACCCACCCACCCAAGCCAGAGGCCAGGCTAGGCTTGATGCCTCCTGGGGTCCTCAGATCTAGGGTTTGAGCATCTTTCTCCTCAGACCTAGCCTCCTGGACACAGGCCACAGAAGGGGCAGGGCCCATCCCGCCTTCACAGAGCCGGCAGCTATTTACAAACCGAAACCGGGAGAAGTGAAGTGGCTGCGGCCGAAGTGGCTCCAGGCCCCCAGCCCCCACTCCCACTCCATCCCCGGCAGCCCCTTCCCCCCTCCTCATGGCTTCCTCTTTCCTTCCCCACACAGCTCCCCAACCTCCCACTGCCCTGCCAGCACTCTGTGGACAACCTGCAAACACCTCCTAGTGACCCTAACCCCACAACCTCCTGACTGGGGGTGCTAGCTGTCCCTCTCTCCTCTCCACCCCCAGGACCCCATCAGTTTGGATTCCTTGAAGTGGCCCCTTCCCACAAGGGCCCAGCCCACCCTGGCCTGCCCTAAAGACCCATTCCTTCAGGCTTGTTCTCAGTTCCCCTTCATGCTTGGAGGGACTCCAACACTAATGGCGGCCCTGAGGCTGCTAGCCCTGCCTGAGCTTCGCTGGGTGTCCTCAACATTTGCAGCAGATATGTAGGGGGACAAGGAATCTGGGGTACTATGGTAGAACCTAAAACACCAGGGGCCTCCAGGGGGTATGTCTCTAGGCAGATGTCCTGGTCATCACAATTCTCAAATTGGGTTCAGGCTATCTCGTCAGGCTGATGTAGGTCATAGGCCTCCACACCCGGAGCCAAGCTAGGAGAGATGAACACTGGGCCCAAGAACAGTCCACGCTTTAAGGCATCGCCGGGCGGACAGATGAGCCTGCAGTGACGGCTCTCCCAGTTAAAGACAGCAGAGAGACATGACACTTGGTCCTAGTAACAGAGAACCTCCCTCATAGAAGAACCAAGGATTAAGTCAGTCTCAGAATGAGCCTGTTTCCTCATCTCCATTTATCAGGAGTAAATTGAGGCTCAGAGGTGAAGACATGTGTTTCAGGCCATGTGCTGGAAAGTGTCTGGTCTGAGAGTCTAGGCTTCTGGACACTCAATCCCCTTCTCCCTCCATCTGGCTGTCCTGCCTTCCATCTCCTACCATAGTTTCCTTCCTGGAGGGGGTGAAGATTCCCAGTGCTACCTGGGGAGTTGCGGAGGAGAGGACTGACCTATAATTTAGGAGGAGCTGTCTTGGTCTGTAGAACAACTAGATCACCTTCCCTGGCCCAGTTTTCTGTGCCCTTTGCTTCTCCCCTTGTCCTGCCCCAGGGAACAGTCTGTCTGCCTCTGTCCTTTCCTCCTCCCGGTGGCTTCTCCCCATTGAGACAGAAGCCGTGGCCTGAGCCTTACTTGGGGATGTAGCCAACTGGTGACACTGAATTTTGCCTAACCTTTCTGAGCCTCAGATTCCTCTTCTGTGAAGCTGTCCCTCTACAAATACTGTGTACCTTCTGGGTCCAGGGCCTTTGCGGGGTGCAAGCTGCCCCTGCCTTTGTGAAGTCACAAATGAGTTACAAAACGCTGAGAGCTCTGCGAGGGAAACCAAGGCTGTGGGACTCCCAGAAGGAGTGATGTGTCAGCTTAGGGTGGGAGGGATACCACTTGGGATGGGCCCCAAAGGACAGGAAGGAGTGTGCCAGCAAAAGCAGAGTGGACAAGCTCTCCATGCTGAGTCATACCATCATGCGTATGCTCTATGGGTCCCACTGCCTGGAATGACCTTTCTTCCTATGGGCCTGGTGAACTCCTACTCATCCTTCAGAGTCCATGGACACACCATAGCATGACCGGCCTGGCCTGGCCCCTCCTCATCTCCCTCTTTCTGCCTAGGGCCTCCTGGTGAGGACAACACTCATGGCCTCCTCTCCAGCCCCACCCGGACGGGCGTCTGCTCCCAGCTCCAGCCCCCGCTGTCCGCTGCTCCGAAAAGCACCGGTTCCCTTTTTCTGGGTGACCACATGCCCTATACAGGGAATTTCCATCTCAGCCGGTGGAGCCTCTGATTCACCCAGGCCCCTCACGCAGTTAACTCCTTCCAGGCCCTGGAAACTTGGGCTGTCCCCACCCCCAGCCTGGGACCCCTGGGCAGCTCATTCTCCAAGTCCAAGGCCATTGCTCACTGGTCCCCTCAGGCCCAATCCCTGGCCCCACACACAATAGACCCCAATCCCCAGTGCTCAGGGCACACACTTGGCAGCTCTGGGCTGTGGTTGAGAGCACCGGCTTTGGAGTCAGATAAGCCTGGGTTCAAATCCTGATTCTGGTCCTTACTGGCTGTGTATGTATCTACCCCATTGCCTAACTGTAAGATGGAGATGACAATTCCTGTCCTTGTTGTGAAGACCCAGTGGGCAGGACTCGTGAAGCTCAATACCATATCCTTTTCTTCTTTCCAAAGGGCCTCTCTCGTCTTATTACAGGGTCCTTGTGGTATTCGGTTCCTACTTCCCAGCTGGCTTTCCCTTCCCAGGAGCTGGTTGCTTGGCTAGAATGGGAGAAGGGAGACTGAAGCTCCAGCCCCCTGAGTGGGTGGCAGCTCTCCTGGGCCAGCTTTCTCATTCTGCCCATTTCTCGTAGTTGTTTCCATGGAGGCTGCAAAGGTGCTGAGCCCTCAGGCACAGGTCTACCTTCCTTCCCCTGCAGGATGCTGGGCACACTCCTCACACAGACTTTCTGGCCTAATTCATTACCACCACCCTGTCGTGAAGTATGCCTCTTATTGTCCCCATTTCACAGATGAGGACACTTGAGACCCTGAGACATGAGTGGCTCCCCTTTATCCTCACAGCGAGTGAAGGGCAGGGGTGGGATGGAAATCCAGATCTATACCTGTTCAGTGAGCATGTGTGAGGGAAACATGCACTAAATGAATCCCTACTGTATACCAGGTAAAAGCATTCCTCTTTCAGTCACTAGGACAATAGTGGAAGGAGGGTTTATTGGCTTCTGTATAGAATGGATGCCTGGGAGCTTTAGAGGGAGAGACACTCAGGAGACCTAGGGGAAAAGGGAATCAAGGAGGGGGTTCCATAGAGCAGGGGTTTCAGGTGGGGAAGCAGCTTCTGTCCTTGGTGATGGGGGGGGGAAGAGTGGGGGGTGGCTTGGTGTGCCCGTGGTGAGCAGAAGGAAGTCCCTGTGGGTGGCGGTGGATTTGAGGTACCGGAGGCTGAGTGATGTGGCCAGGAGGTGAGATCCCCGTCTGTAAGCCTGGTCAGCAGGAGAACAGGGGTGTGGTGGGGGTGGCGGGGGCTGCTCTGGAGATACGTGCCTTCTGGAGCTGTAGAGTGAGGCTGTAGAGTGAGAGCCAGGAGTGGGGCAGAGTGTAGGAGTGATCTGAGCAGGGTGGGGTGAGAACAGGGCACTGCAGAGGCAGGCTGCGGAGGAGAAGGCCTCCATGGACATGGACGGAGGAGTTTGGAAGGGGTGGGGTGGAAGGAGGTTGAGAAAGAACTTCTGGGAATGTTGAGTAGTACCTTCTGACTGTGGTGGGGGAGGGTGGAAAGGCTGGCTGACCGAGGGCGGGGCTCCAGCACAACCTCACAAGCTTCACTTGAGCCTATGGGCAGAGACAGCAGAGAGGGTTTTGGGTAGGAAAATACTGATGGGAGGATTTCTAGATGGAGACAGTAGAGGTGGGACAGGTTCGAGGGACACTGTGAACTGCAGTCACATCTCATTTCAACCACGGGTCATGACTCTGCACCTCCCTTGTTGTTGTTGTTATGTGCCGTGGAGTCGGTTCCAACTCATAGTGACTCTGTACAGGGTTTCCAAGGCTGTGAATCTTTATGGGAGCAGAAAGCCTCATTTTTCTCCTGTGGCACAGCTGGTGGTTTTGAACTGCTGACTGTGAGATTAGCAGCCTGATTCATAACCACTATGCTACCAGAGCTCCTTTCACCTCCCTTGGGCACTCATAATAAAAATATTTGTTGCAATGGTTAAGCACCTAGCTGCTAACAGAAATGCCCACAGTTTGAATCCACGAGCTGGTCCACAGGAACAAAGATCCTATGGGGCAGTTCTACTTTGTTCTATAGAATGACTATGAGTCTGAATTGACTCAACTGCACACAACAACATATATGATACGTGATATATATTGTTACATTGTAGTCAGTTCTGGTTCAAAGCAACTCCATGGACAACAGAACAAGACACTGCTATGTTGGAACCACTGTGGCTGTCACTGGATCAATCCATCTCATTGAGTGTCTTCCTTTTTTTGGCCAACCCTCTGCTTATCAAGCATGATGTCCTTCTCCAGGGACTGGTCCTTCGGATAACATGTCCACAATACATGAGATAGACTCTGAGACTAGAAGGATACTGGTTACCACTACCAACTGCTCTGAAAGGGGTCACATTGTTGTGACCGACTCATAGCGATCCCATGCACAGCAGAACAAAACAATGTCCGATCCTGGGCCAACCTCACTACCGCTGCCACACTTGAGTCCATCAATGATGCCACCTGGCCGAT